CAACAAAATTTCCATTTAAAGATTCTAGGTTTCCTTCGTCAAATTTTTCAAAAATAACTCACATATGATATAGTCTCACTGGTTTGTTATTAGTTATTCAATAAGAATACCCTTCGTATGTGAGTGATATCGGACAATGTCTGGTTCGTTGAAAGTCGCTCACCCTGGCAAAAATAACTTCCTACGCTACTGAGTGAGGTCGGGACATATTAAGTATAGAAACACACTTTATTAATACGTAGAAAAACTTGCAGGACGAGAAAAATCTTCAAATAACACAATACATATTGTGTTAAAGTGATCCTGATTTCAAAGTTCGCTCATCAGAACAATGACCGACAACACTTACCAATCGAGCATTTTTGCAAGGCAAGTTCTTGAGAATCTCGAGATCAATTATAAACACCCGTTTAGCAGCTAAAGCTTGTTCTAAGGTCAAACCCTCCAGGAAAGGTTCTATCATACCATCTTCCAGACCAAACCTATCAAATGAGATAATAAAAAAAAACAGGATTTACATGGCAGTTGTTAAAAATAAATAAGTTATATATTCTACGAGAATATAATGTGGAAAATCTATTAACAAATCGACAAAACTTTAAGTAGTATTTTATCACAGCCATTATAATAAATGTTAAATTTTATCGAGCCACAGGTTTAAACTAAATAGCACTTTATTGTATGTCAAGGTAACATCTTTTTCTATATTAAAAGCGATATTTTACTATTATAGATGACTGTTTAAATTTGGGCACAGTTTTGTAACAGCACCAACAGAACGTCCTTTCCTATTGGATTAAAACGATAATACAGAGTATGATGTAACTTAGGCTTATAATACATCATTATTAACTTCAGTCCATAAAGTAAGGTTTGAATATTTTCGATTAAAATAAAAGAAAAAAGTTATAATCTACCTATACAAGACAACTTGTTATAATGATACTATATCATTGTATTTGATTGTCACATCGATAAAATTAATTAGCTTAGAAATTGCGATATTGCTTTTAATTATGTAATGAGATACCAAGCTCAAATACTCTGAAAAACAAAGAACGTTCAATTCTAAGCCTGAACTTCGCGCTTCCATTCGCTAAATAGCCATATTTTCTCATTGTTATTTTTCCAGGAATACTTAAAGTTTATTCATATTTCACCAAGTTTGAGCTAACTAGATTAGTTACAATGAGCTTAACAATATGTTAGCGATAGGGTGTAGTTCATGCATCTTAACATTCTTAAATTAAAAGCTTTATAAACTGTGAACAAAACAGAAAATCATTATATATTTATCTATACGAAAAGGTAGAAAAGTTTGGTAGATTTATTACGAAATTATAAACTTTAAGAGTTGAATTTCAGATTTCACAAAGGACAGGAAAAATAATTCCTTTCTATTCCTTAAAAATATTCAGAAACCTATCTTACTTTGAAGGGATTTCCTTGCATTGTGAGATAAGAACAGGGTTGGCCCCTTGGACACGCTGCAAGCCAAACCACCTGTCTTCTGTCCAGTACTTAATACACTGTTCAAGGAATAACATGAAGTCAACTAAAGATCTCCTCACATTATTAATATCACTACATATTTGAGATATACGAACATGCGATAAGTTCACATATCTCCAATCTGTCGTCAACAAAGTATACCAGATATATCAATACTGTGATAAGTTCATATATCTCCAGACTGTCATCAACAAAGTACATCAACATACACTACTCAAGGCACTTATTATTTTTTTTTATATATATGAATGGTGTGCTTGATATTTTCATAGTTCATTTTTTAAAGTTTATTCGATATCTTAATCTGTTTAATGGAGGTGTACCGAGTATTGAAAAATTGCCTTCGAAGTTTAGGTTAATTAGTGATGTTTCTGTTTAATATGAAAAATAAATCCCGTGATTTGTGTACCCTAAACAAATCTTGATTAATTATTAAGTTTGAATTGCTAAACAGAATAGTTCGTTATAAAACTCTTGCTTTTCTGCGCTTATATTTGTGTTAAAGAATAGAGGCTTGATACACTAAGAGAGTGTAAAGTAAAGATTGCATTGATTGGAAATATTTCCTATTTGCTAATTCAAAGCAGGAAAACTTTCCTAACAGAGCATTGTTTTAGGAAAACTTCTTAAGCTTACTATTAATGTTGCCTAAAAATAAGCACTTAACCATTTTCATCCATTGCTGAAGTTCAAAATGAACATTTCCAGAAGTAAGAATTAATTATTTTAATAAGTTCGAATTTCATGGCATTTAATAACGTAGGACTTGAACACACATACACACTAGACTTTTTTGGTTTACCTATTTTATCAAAGAATCGTCAGATTTTTTTTTTATACCAAAACTTGATTGTCTGAATTGTCTAAATTAGCAACGCCACCTACCTCCGGTTCTTCAAGTTTTAATCTGTATACAGTTTTAAGGTCGTCTAATGACTTCCATTTGTCTTTTGAAGACAGGTTGATGAGGCTAGTGGCTAGAAGAAGACTTCCTTTGTTCTTAATTATGTCCCACTATAATACAAAGGAACTGTTAGGATCCACTTTATATTTTTTATGCTAATGCAGTTCACAGCAGACGTGAGTGGACATAGCTCGTGTTAAAGTCTTCAACAGTATCACATATTGAAACACTTTAAAAAACAAGATAATATTTATAAAAGAAGGACATATATTGTGCTTTAGTAAAACCGTGTTTTACATTATGAAAGATCGTTAGAAACAAGGACACTTTTTTGCAAATGATTTCCCTATCCTGTATCATAAGTTAATAATTTTCCCCTTTCTTCTGTAAATAAAACATCATATTAAATAAACATTCAAAAATAGTTAAAGTCTTTCAGAATAAACACAGGCGTTAAAACAACAATTTGAAACAGCAAAAGCATAGTTAAAATACCGAATATTTTAAAACCGAAGTTTTCTCCCGTTAATTCACCCATTTCAAATAACATATCTACAAAGCAGCGCAAGACAGTATAATCCATTACTCAGTAACTAGTTGCCTTACATTTTTGAGAAGCGTTAAAGTTGCAGCTCGTTTCAAAAAAGTTTCACTCTAACTTGCAGTTCTTCACCTTCTGAAATTTCCTGATAATTATAGTAAGATCGTTTCGCTTTTTGACCAGTAATAGCCCTCTAACGACTCAGTTTTAAAATCGTAAAATGATTTGTTTCGTTTTATTACAAATGGGCCCCCCGATGGGGCAGTGGTAAGTCTTTGGATTTACAGTGCTAAAATCAGGGGTTCGATTCCCCTCGGTGGACACAGCAGATAGCTCAAAGTGTCTTTGCTATAACAACGCACACACACACGTACTACAAATGGTTTACAATGAAATACAAAAAAACAAAGAAATTACAAAATCAAGCTTAGGCGAATCAGAGAAAAAAACACTTTTTTTTTACTTAGAAAGAAAGTTAAAAAGAAACAGCTAATTTGTTGTGTACTAAGGTTTTAAAGGATGTAAACGCACCAGATCCTAAAATTAAAGATGACTGTTTCACGAAGGTCTACAGGACGTTCAACAGTTTACGCTCAACTAAAGAAGAAAACTCCTTTTTTCTCTGCATAGGGGACCTAACAATGTTTTCCCATGGGCATCCGCAGAATGGGGCAAGTGGGGAATTTAACCCCCGGAATTTCATAAGAAAATTTGAGTAATTTATTTAAAAAATATATATTATAAAACAATAGTATTGAAATATAAATGATGAAATTAGGTTTACATAAATAAGCTATAATCAGCTGGAGCATCGCTGGTCTGCTCTCTGCCATAGCTTGCGCCCCCCCCCCCCCACACACACATCAGGAATAAATTCTGTGGATGCTCATGCTGTTTCCGATTTAAAAATATACTTTTGGGCCGGTATGGACTAGAGATTACCATGCTGGGCTATATATCCGAAGGTTCAGGGTTCGAGCTACGATACATCTCCGAACACACTTCATACTGCAGATATGGGGGTGATATATGACTGTGACAAGTATCAACTCTTGTTATTCGGTTAAGCATAGCTTCGTAGACGGCTGGCGCATTTGATAAGCTGATCTCCTTCTGTTCAGTAATTCTAAGTTAAAAATAGCTATGTCTCAACCTAAGGGCTGTTTAGTCCATATGTTGCATAAGGTGCCACTTAGATAGAAAATACTATATATATATTTTTTTTCCTGCAACTTAGTGTTAACTAGTGATTCTAGGCCTAAAAAGTTTTACTTAAATTAGCAACATTTAGTACGACCAAACGTTTTAATCTATATTAAATTACTATAACATTTAGTCTTACAAAATATATATTAACATAAACAAAGGAGAGTGTTTTCAGAGCACTATCACTTTAATTACTTCTACTACTAGTTGTTAGGAAACATTTCATTCGGCACCGTTATCACATCTTTTGTACATCTATATATTTAATGGTTTGTCCCACCAAACATGCTCGCCCTTTCAGCCGTGGGGGCGTTATAAAGTGACACTCAATCCCACTATTCGTTGGTAAAAGAGTAGCCCAAAGAGTTGACGGTGGGTGGTGATGACTAGCTGCCTTCCCTCTAGTCTTACACTGCTAAATTAGGGACGGCTAGCGCAGATAACCCTCGTGTAGCTTTGCGCGAAATCCATAACAATATCTAAGGAAATAGTGCTTATAACACACCCACGGCCCCATAGAGGAATGTTTTTTTTTAGTTTTTTTTCCTAAAAAAAAAAAGGTCCAAGTTCTTTTAGATGTAGTAGTATAGATGAAATGTTGATGTTCAATGTTACCACTAAGAAGTTCTAGTGTATAGAACAGTTTTATATTTCCAATACCATACGGTGTCCATAATACCACAACAAACTCAAGAAAATTTGTTATAAGATGATTCTAAAAAGTTTCTTGTTATTGTTGGTGTTATTACTGTCCTGTTTCACACTCGATGGATCAAACTTTCTTGAAAGAGTTACTATAAATTTAACTCAAGTATTTGAAATGTTTATAATCAGTTCATGTATTTTTAGATTATGTAATACTGCTCCGGAAATTACGTAAAACTGCTCATAACTGCCGAAAGACGCGAGATATCTTATAACTCCTTTAAGTTATGTCCCTGCTGCTCAGACTTTCCATATTAAACTTCAATTCTATGAACTAACAATGAAAAAAAAATAGAAATTTTATGTACTCTCCCACGACACATTGACACTGGTCACAAATCTACAGTATCTTTCAGTTGACTTAATAATTTCACTGAATGTTTCGATATACAGAGGAAAGGTGCAAGTAATATTTCACGCTGTTAATGACATCAATTTCGTGTACCAAAGTTGTGTTTTCTTTACTATAAGCCTTTTACACTTTTGCAGTGCGTGTATATTACTTATGACGACACAGTTCCAATACAGTCTCATGAGCTGTTCTACAAAATTTGCCCCCCCCCAGTGGCACAGCGGTATGTCTGCAGACTTACAACGCTAGAAACCGGGTTTGGATACCCGTGGTGGGTAAAGCACAGATATCCCATTGTGTAGTTTGTGCTTAATTACAAACTAACAAACAAAATATTAGGTCGTCAGGAAATTAATGTCGCGTTTTGGAACACTTTCATTAAACACCAACCCCAAAAACGTACATCATGTATAATAGTTAAACGCAACGCCTATATAATGTGTAAAGTTTAGTATACTGTAATCCCTTATAGTTATCGCACACGACGAGACAAACATTCGGCATGAAATGCTGTTTGAATACAATAAGGGAAAGAACGCCTCTGTATTCACAAAGAATATCAAAGAAGTTTATGGAAATGTTTCGAACGTCCGTGAGTGTCAACGATGCTTCAGCAAATTTTGTTCAGGTGACTTTAGCCTTAAAAACTGTGATGGGAGGGTTCAACATGTTGGAATTGATATTGATGCTCTGAAGATGCTTATTGAGTCTAATCCAAGGCAACACACTCGTGAAATGCCCCTGGAATTGCACATCTCTGATGAAACAATACGTAAACATCTAAGGGATATGGAAAACTCCATAAAGGAGTTGTTTGGGTGCTTCACGAACTGTCCGATTATCATCGTTTCTAACGTGTGAATATTGCTTCGTCTCTTCTCGCGCGTAATGCATGTGAACCATTTTTGGACAGAATTGGCACCGGTGATGGAAAATGGATCCTCTATGTGAATATTAAACGCCAAGAACAATGGCTCAGTCCTAGACAAAAACCACTTCCGACTCGAAAACCTGGACTCCATCCGCAGAAAGTAATGGTTTGCATTTGGTGGGACATAAAAGGAGTAATTCATTTTAAATTCCTCAATCTACAGCAAACTCTTAACGCAGAGATCTATAGTCAGCAACTGGAACGTTTAAATCAAGCCCTTCATCAGAAACGCTATTCACTCATCAATTGGAAAGGTGTTCTTCTTCTCAACGACAATGTACGTCCACATGCGGCACGTTTGACGCAACACAAGATTATGGAGTTGGGTTTGGAAGTTCTCCCCCACCCACCATATTCTCAAGATTTGGCATCATCAGATTACCATAATTTTCGTTCGCTGCAACACCATCTTAATGGGAAAACGTATGTAAATGTGGAAGGTGTTAAAGAGGACATCGACATGGTTTTTGCTTCAAAGCCAAGTGATTTCTTTAATCAGAGCATTAACAACCTGATTGTAAGATGAAAAGGCGTCATCTATAAGAATGGAGACTATTTCATTTAATAAATGTTTTGTTGTGATATATAAGTTGTTCTGGTTTTTTATCTAAAAAAAAAGCGGCGTTAATTTTATGACGACCTAATGCAAAGGTTGAGAACGTTGTATTAAAACGGTTTCTGAGCCTCATTATGCCGCAACGTCCGGTCATGTTCTCTGTAACAATCGTGTTTCTTAACAATAGTCCTGTAGCGTAGTGTTCATTGCAAACGGTTCTGTCGTAAGGCTATCCTGCTCAGCGTACACCATTCCTCCCTGCTTGGTTTACATACACCATCTAGTGTTCAAAGATGATGGTTTTTCCAGTGTCCCTTTCAAAAGGTTGATCGCGCAGCAATCAATAGGTGCTGCATCCAGCTACTTGACCAATATGTCTTCGTAAAGAATAACGTGGATACTGATTTCATTCTACAGCTGATTGAGGTATGCGATTTTCAAAGGATTTTTCATGGAAGTAACTTGTCTGATCTTTGTTTACTTTATTCGAGATGAGAAAGGAGAATATTTTAACCCATTAGAACTGCCTCCACAAAACCTGAACATAAAAAAATTAATCAAGAAGAACTGTCAACCGTGGACTTACAACAACAAAAAGTACTGCGGGGATCATATTCCTGTGTGTGCAGACAATATTGTATATACAAGTAATAAAATAATTTTCAAAAGTTAAATACGATGTAAGGATGGCAATGCCAAAAAGTACAAAATCAAGGTAAAGATAAATACACAAAACCATACAAAAATAACTTTTATCTACAACTAAATGTTGAAGCCCCCAGTGGCACGGTGGTATGTCTTCGGACTTCCACCACTAAAATCCGGGTTTCGATAC